AGGCTTCCTTCCTCCCTTCAACGCCATCTTCATGAAAGGGATCACTACATTAACAGTTCTACTCAAACGATACTTGACAAAGAAATTATTTCAGTAATTTAACTTTAGTTTGGACTAATTTACTTTACTTTTGGAATCAAACATAAGTTATTTCTAGAAAGACCATTTTACATTCTTCCAACTTAAGAAAAAGTTCAAGGAGAAAGAACTGCATTTACAGGAAGTACTGAAATATAAAAGACAAACAGATATTGCTGAGATTTTATTATGAAATTTGACAGAAGATACATTCAAATAAAATTAAAATCCAATACACACTATGCCATACTCTTCAGATGTTAGTAACCCTGAAAGAGAAAAAGAATTTGTTAGAAAACCTCAGACGTGTATAATGGTTTTAAAGTGCTTGTGAAATTCAGTTCTTCACAAACGAAGAATAATTTTACCTGTAAAAATGGTACTGCTGCACACTTATCTTCTCTCTCAAGATGAACTTCTATTCTTCCAATAGCCATATTGTAGATTAAATATAAAGATGAACTTCTAAAGGAGTAACAGCCTCACATTTGGGATTGAATATTGGGTAAAGTAGAAATATCAGTACTAATTTGAATTTTATAATGAATTAGAACAATTTTATAATTTAAAATTTTGCTTAATCAATTTGATACATACCTTTTTATTCACATGGCAAATTCCAAATGGATCTCTGAGCATTTTTTTCAATTTGTAAATATAAAAGAATAAGGAAGACACCACAAGAAAAAGAAACCTTAAAGTATGAGAGTGGAGACATGCTATAGTAAAATAAGAGTCAAGAGATCTCGATTTTGGTCCTGACTAGGTCATTACTATGGGGCATTACTTTGGATGTGCAATTTAACCTCTTTGAGGCTCAATCTCTTTTCTTGAAAAATAAGGGGGCTTAAGCAGATTTAAAACTGTAGGATTTAATGAATTAGCAAGTTGGAATATAATAACTAAGAACCTACTTAAATTGTGTTAGAACTCTTTAATTTAAAAAAGGAATTATTGGGACTCATGTAAAAGAGAACTAACAAAAACAGTACTTGGACTAATGACCATTACCATCTTTTAAAATTGACTTCAAAAATTGCTTCAGTTTTTGCTAAAAAAAGAAAATTAGGCATTACCCAAGTAACTCTTAACCCAGAATCTGAGAGATTAAAAGGACCATGGAGGTACAATCCTTCCTAGGTTTATAAATGCCATCTGGAGAGTATCTATAGTGCCTGGAACTTGGGAGGTGCTCATTAAACAGAGCCATGATTTTTATTTGTTTTGGCACAGTTCTCATTAAAGTCACTAAAGTTTTGAATGTTTTTATTTTAATCTCTAGTAATAATTTCCCCCTCATAGCTTCCCGTAATCATTTCTTCTATCTGAAAATTAGTAATATTATGGGACATGGGCGGGGCTGTAGACTACAGAATCCAGCTAGAAATCCACTTTCACAAAAAAAAAAAAAATAGAAATCCACTTTCACAATGAAATAGAATCACTGAAATAGAACCAACAAACTTTAGAAAAGGCTGATCATGTAGTTTTAAAATCTACCAAACAATGCTAGCATCTGGACCATATTTTATTCATAAGGTATCATAAAAATTTGATTAACACTTTAATAAAGACATTCATTTTAGGACTATTCTATACAAACTTAATAAAAAGTTTTACAGAATTTCATAGTTCCAAAGTTTTATAAAATATAAATAATAAGCAAATCAGAATTGGTAGCCACTCTTATTTTCTAAATAATTTACAGAAACGGTTAGCACTATAAGAAAGATTGATTTTGGAAATGCTGGTCATTAAGATTTTACTAACAAAAATTAATCATTAAGTATGAACAGACAAAACAAAGTCACTATATGTGTATTACATGAATGTACCTTTCTTTAGGAATGTTGCAATTGCATTATATTCTGCTTTATTTTTGCTGTTAAACTCACAAGACTAAAGTTATGCCTTTTTAGGCTGCTACTCTTATGCAATACAAAGAAGTCACTGTTGATATCATTTACCGCAGTTAGCTGTCAGCCGGGAAACAATGAAGCTAAGTTTTGGGTAAATGGGTTAGGGGCTCTACTGGTCACTGTAGTTACTTTCCTTCAGTCTAGTCTTTGAAAAAAGTAGACTTCCAGGCACTATATATTATGTTTGATCTGGTGCTGGGGAAGAACTTAACAGGAACCATATTTTTTCCTAAGTTCCTATGTAGATAGAACAGGATCATTACCAGAATATCTAGTTAGAAATCACACAATGGACTTGGTTTTGAATCCTTACAGACTTTGGTAAATTGTCTTAAGAGGTAATAGTACAGTGTTGAAAGGACAAATGGTGAAGTCAGACTACTTGGGTGGGAATCCTGGCTCTGTCATTTGCTAGCTGTGTAACCAACAGATACATTACTTATACTCTACCTCTCCATTATCTCATCTGTAAAACAGGGAAGTAATAGTAAGTCCCTAACTGTAGTTACACTGAATAAATAAAAAATATTATTTATAAAGGGCTGGCATGGTGTCAAAAGAATTGTAATTGTTAAATGTGTGTGTGTGTGTGTGTATTTTTAAACTGTTATCTTAGTTATCTCAGCTGTACTGTCAGGTAGTAATAAAGGGGTTGATTTTCAAGCTTGGGTTAGAGCATTAAAGTAAGAATGACATTTTGCATCTCACCCTTCCAATATCAGTAGCAATTACCTTAAAAGAAAAGGTGAAGCTGCAAGACATTTCAGTCAGCCTTCCCAGCAAAGTGTCATTCTTACTAGTGTCAATCTTGAGGGCCTAGGCTTAATTCTTATGTCCTCCCTTATTAGGACACTTCATCACTACATTATAATTGAAGCTATAAATGTTTATAGACTGAGGAAGAGAGAGGTGGTCATTTTATGAGGCCCAGGAGACTTCAGAGCAAGTACAGGACTGGCTGATAGGGAACACAGTGAGCTCAGAACGCTCAAGGAATCCTATCACTCTTGACACCATAAACTTTACATAGAAAGCACAGGACATTCTATGTATTTTTTTTTCTGATATTTCACTGATATTTTATGTTAACACTTATTACAAAACTCGACATTAATGTAAAAAAAAAAAAACCTAATTTTTTCAACTGTAAAAAAAGAGTCTAAAATGGAGTAGTCTCCATTTGAATGAAGAAAAAAATTGAGAATTGAGTTTTCCTTGGATCTATGTTGAGATTAAAAACCACACTGAAAGATTACCACCAAAACCAAAGTTATACATAAAATAGGAAATAGAGCAGTAATTTCTGAGGATGTAAAATAATTAAATATAACTGTATAAGTAACCTGAGTTTAAAAAACTGAATAAAGTTAACATGTTTCCCAGAAACCATAAATATAAGAATTGGCATGACAAAAAGAAAACCTTGCCAATAACATAAAAAGCAAGCAAGAACATTACCAAAGAACTTCCAATAATGTTCTTAGTCTAAGAAATGTGTTAACTGAAGACTTTCAAATATTCAAGCTCAGATGTTTCACGTTACATATTCTATTCAAAACACAGAAGAAAGAGAGGAACTAGTCACCACATTTAACAAAGCAAATATAACCTCGAGGTCAAATATGGGGCAGAGAAATTATTTCTAAAACTGTAATTATATACAAGGTTCCTTTCATGCAAGGTAAAATTCCCATATAACTAAATTCTAAAAGTCCTTTGATTAATAAGTGTATGTAGGAAAGTCCCTTCTAATTTTTTACATTATATGACAGTAAGTACCATTAAGACAAAATATTTTAAAAATTTGGTTGAAAAAATATTATGCTATAGTGCTAGTACATAATTAAAGCAATTTAACTATTACCAACTGATTCACTATAAAACCACAAAAAGATAATCATTTCCCCATTTATAAAGAGCCCATTGCCCAAGAATAAACCATCTTATTTAAATAATGACCAGAGGTGCTAATAGTTAGCCAACGTTAATATGAGTTAACAGGGTTCAATTTACAACATGCAGACAATATGGATGCTACTTCTGTTAAATTTTTGAAATTTAACTTTACTCTACATTATCATGAGAAAAGGTAAATCTATTTCAACTGCCCTGAAATGCATCTCATTTAATATAATTCAAGGAATGTATGGTAGGCATTTTTGAGGAAAGAACATAAGAATAAGAATTTTAGATTTAAATCAAAGATTAAATTTATTTAATATAAATTTAATAAGAATTTTAGATTTAAATCAAAGATTAAATTTATTCTCTTTGTGTAAAACAGTGCTTCTCAAGCCTTTAAAAATCTTCAGAGAATATTCAAATTTTTATGACCAACCAAAAAATCTTAAGAGATTGATTATGTCCTCAAAGTTTGATTATGTTTTGTCTTCCAAATTGGAATTTTAAATTTTAAACTGAAAATCTTGCACTAGGTAATTCATTTCAAAGTATATTCATAAAACTAGGAAAAAGGATTAATATAAAACACTGTCAATCACTTTTACTTGTGTGTGGGAGGGAAGGAAGAGTTTTAAGAAAATTCCCATTTAACTCAAGGATAGTGCAGATTACAGAATAAAAAAGTCAATATTTTAGAGAACTATTTCCTTGAAATTGAGGGTTTTGAAAATTTGAGAAAGATGAAATAAAGCTAGGAGAAAATACAAATAAAACTATAGAGGAAAAAGATCTCAAAATCTGGAAGTATAGAATTGTACTATTTATGGCATAAATTGAACCCTGCTTTATTTTAAATAAAGCAAAAATAAAAATAGAATAATTCACATTTTAGGTCAGAGGAAGATCTGCAACCCCAATTTAACTGATTTTTAATAATTACTGCCCCAATGAGTTTAGAAGAAACAGCCCAAGAGATTATTGTTTAGCACAGAAGTAACAAATTAATACATACAAAATGCAATGCATTAGATCATTTTTTGGTGTTGAGTAACACTGCATATAGCAAGGATTAGAAACAAAAGAGAAATTTCTATTTCCTACCTATATCACTGGCTACCATCTTGGAAAACTTTCTGCTTTTGGTCTTCACTGAAAATAATATTTTGATATAAAATGTCAAAATCTATTCAAAGTAAACTAAATGAATTAAAAATAATTAAAAGAAAATACTTTAAAATAAAGATACTATACCCTTTTCTATAAAATTATTCATTTTTTGTTCATCATCTGAATTGTGTGGTGATGAAGAACCTACACAAACGAAGACAATGGAAGGAACAGGCATATCGTCAGTCACAAACGCTGAGTTGTCATAGGGAAAAGTACAAACAAAATAATCTGGTAACTTCTAAGATAAGTTTCCATATTATTGGCCACAAGAAAAGGTCATGCATATAATTAATAACAACTCCTCTAATACTATAGTAAGAATAGCAAACAGTAGTACATTATCTTTCATGGTAGAGAAATCCCTAATCTAGAACAATTTTTCCTTAAGTTGCAACCATTTAGAAAAGTCTTGGCATAGATATTAGAGAACAGATAAAGAAAGATATAAGCAGCTATTAACTCTTTCTGAAAGAAAAGCAGCAATTAACTCTTTCTGAAAAAAATGCAAAAATTCTTTGATGTTAAATGAATATGGTTCATCTAGAACTAAGAATCTCATGCAAGAAGTATTCTGGCAACTTATTTTAGAGTTAACTTTCTATATGCAAATCTTAAAATCATATATAAGCCTATTATTACCACAATGATCTTTAAAATACTGAGGATAATACTTATAATTTTAGGTATGTTCAAATATTTACTTACGTTTAATGAGGTAATAAATATTTCATTTTATTCTGGCTGTGACTCCCAATAAGTTTATCTAATATTTTTATAATTAAGATTTGACATTTTTCCTCAAAAAAGGTGTTTCTAAAATAAATGTTTTATTTATAAATGTAATCTTAAGTAGTATTCTAGTTGACAACTTTTACTAAACAATCTATTCTTTATAACAGCAGGACATTTCAAATGACATCTCACCTATAAATTTTCAATCTCTTTGCTATAAATCATCTTCCCTCTTTTTAAATTCCAATAATCATTTATCAGTACATGTCTCTTAGGATGTTCCTCACTTATACATCATATTTTAAAAAGTTTATACACATGTGCCCTTTTCCCACTGCACTGCACATCTGGGCCTCCATTTGATTCATCTTTGCATCCCCTTTGCACTCAGCAGAGTGCTTAGTATGCAGCAATCTCCAAGTAAACATTTGTTGAATGAATAAAAAGCTTTTCTGATAGAAGCAAATGCCTGGAACATAACTGGAAGTAAATAAAAAAGTTCTTCTGTACTTTTTCTTCCTTTTTATCCCAGTGAAAGTACTGAGCCTCAATCAATAAGGTCAAAGTTTGACCTTCCATTCTCCCACAAAAATCATACTTTCGGCCAAGTGGAAATATCCTTAAAATCTTTCCACAGACCAAGTAAAACCTGTAACATTGGCAGTATCCAATTTCTTCTATAATAGTCTTAGAAGATTACTCTTTAAAAAACCATGTTATTTTTGCTAAGTAGTATTTATGGATCCTCATAAATCCTATATCAAAAAATATCCCATAAGTAACACTGAGCTCGGTAACATTTTCAGGAAAAGAAATGGGTATACTTGTTTTTCAAATAAGATAATAGTTATAAGATGCTATAACTATTTTAAAATATCATAGTCACTTCTGATATTAAATAGCCATAGGAAGATAAAAAAAATTATACTTATTTTATCTGATGTCATCTTAGAGCAACAATTAGATAACATATCTAAATGTGAATATAAAATTATACTTGTTTTTTAATATTTCCAAAATATTTTTCAACATAAATCATAAAGAAAATATTTTCCCCTAACTGAAAATTGCCCACCACTGGTCTTCAGAATTTTTGTTAAAATTCCAAAAATGCTTTCAGCATATCCCATTTGAATATACTTACCAAATAATTATGATTAAATAAACACAGAAAAAAAAATAAACACAGAAAATATTTATGGCTTTTTTTTTTTCTGGGGTACATGGTAATTAATCCCTAATGGCAGAATTTATATAATGGTTTATGTGGCCCTGGGTTTTCTTCAAACTGAAATAACCTAACAAAAGTTTTTATCATTTTCACATTTACACACACACATACACACACGTTTGATGCAGTCCTAAAACAAAATTCCAATATTTTGAAAGTGCTCAGTAAGCAATTTAAGTTCTTTGAAATACAAAGATCAAATGGAGATAGCAGAAGTTATTTCCCATGTTAATTCAGGATGGCAAAACTAATATTCTGTTTCAGAGACTGCCGGTTTATTTAAAAACAAATGGAAAAACCTAATTGTATTCGTTAAGTTGGATTTTCTCAGGATGCTTTTTGAATTGAGCTTTAATGCTGAACCATTAAAACTGCTGAGATCACCAATTTTGATTATGAGATTTAAATGCTTTTCAAAAAGTTTCTCTTCATTTATATTATTATTTTGAATAAACACACTGATTTTGATAAAAGGGCATATGTATGACTACTTTTCATTTTTGTAATAGTGGTCCTCCTCTTAGTATTTATGAGTGACTCAGTTGAACTTCCATTCCAACCCACTTTTAAACATTTCTTCTCTCCCAATACATTGTTTTCTATTAACTATACTGGCTTTATAATCTATATTGTATCCTTTAATTATTTATTTATTTATATATCTTACCACACTGCCGAAAGTACTTGAAGCTAGGAATTTAATTATTATTTTACATGGTTTTACATGATGCTTTGTGGTTCTTCTGATTCACCTCAAAGTTACCCCTTCCGTTCTTCTCATTTGACCATCCTGAATTAGTAGAATTTACATGTATTGGTGAGAGGAATGTTACTAAATTATTCCTTTATTTCTTTATTAGAATGCTAACAAGAATGAATGTAAAAAAATTTACCAATGGGCAAAGAGTAAGACAACTGGCCAAAGATGAGTAGTGAGAATTACTAGTAACTCTTTCAAAATGGGCAAGCAGTGAAAGACATAGCTATAAGAATATAGTGTCAACAGGTTGCTTTCCAGAATTTTATCCTAGTTTCTATTGTATGTTTCACTACGTATGCATGAGTGACATCTATCTTCTGCTCTATGAAACATGTTTCAAGCACAACTACTGTCTACTAAAGTCTGATTTGCTTTTTGTAAAAGTTGTCTTTCCATATTGATAGGCAGGAATGTATATATGTATATGTGTATATCTGTATGTGTATATCTGTATGTCTTCAGAATATTCTTGTATCTTTCAGGGCATAATCAAAGACTAAATAAAGAGTTTTCTACTAAGATAAGAATTTGTGATTTATCAATGATTTTTACACTCACAATTTTTACCTTGCAGTTCAAATTTACTGAAACAATAAAAACCTAGTGTCATATAAATTCTGTATGTTAAAACTATATTGTCCTTTCACGTGGATCAAAAAAATATGCTTGAAAATGTTCAACAATGTTTGAATTTCTCAGAAAAGATTTGGAGGTTTTTTACTTTTATGAACTTTTTATATTTATAGACTTATATTTTAATATACTTAAATATTTATCTATAATTACCTCTTGTTGGTTATTTCAAATTGATAGATGTATATACCTATTCAAAGTTTGGCTTAGGATAATGAGTATTAGTTTATTTAGGCTGAGTCTTGTTAAAACAATTTTGACAGTCATTTAATATACTAAAAGATAATTCCATGACCAAATTATCTAGTTTGGCTTTTAGCCTTAACATATTGACAACTGCATTCACAAGGCCTTTAGAGAGGGTAAGATCAGAATAGTGCTGTAGGTAGATGGACAAAGAACAGCAATAATGAAAAGATACTACAGTTCTGAAGTCCAAATTCAGAAATAACTCTAGTTCTGTGAGATCGGATATACAATTATTTGCTCCATATTATTCAATCAAACTTTACTGTACCAATGTTCAGACTTAACATTAGGTGCTAACCATATTAATTCCTGTGGTTCTATGTTTCATTAATGAGTGAATTTAAATATGAAATTTAAAGATTAAGAAAACCAGAAGGTGTATATATCTTAAGGTATAACTTGTGCAATATTAGGAAAATGCAATTTCAAAAAGAAACATCACAAAAGCTTTTAGAGTCCTATGTCTAATAAACTGCTAAACCGAAATATCAGAGTAAACTAAAATGCACTTCTCAATATTTCCCATGCTTATAATGATTTCTGATGTAGTAGAATCAGCCAATGAAGGATCAAAATCTATCTAAGAACCATGTTACTTTATCCTAAGAACAATCTTTCTAGTTGAAAGCTGATAAATATTCCCAGCCAGAACGATTTAATATGGTCGTTAAAATTGTGAAGTCAACCTTAGTAAAGACTGGCAAAGTTTCTATACACTTAAAATAATAAAATCACAATCCTCTTAACATTAAGGAGATTGAAAAGATATTAAAAATTATGTTCTACTGAAATATTATTACACACATAGGTCACATAAAGACCTATATGGACAAAAAAGGATAACTGCCTTAAAATAGCTATAGAGTTATATTCAATAATATTTTGACCAAAACCACATATAATTAGTCTACAACTATTCTGTCTACAGTTACCATTAGATTGTAAATGTTCAAGATCTTTGATATTTAAATGGGCACTATTCAGGAATTAGAGCACTATTCTACTAGATGACCTCAGGCATGCGGAGCAAAGACAAGACTGTACATTAACCAAACCATTTGATCCAATGGTGAGGAGTAAAATATATTTTCCTTAAAAGATATAAATATAAGAAAGCTGAATAAACAGTTGTATGACTCTTAATAGGTAATAGCTGTGAAATTTTATCTAGTGCATTTCTTTTCACTTAATGAGAATGCAAAAAATAGTTATCCTTTTAAGAATAAATAAGTGACATAAAAGTTCCTTCTAGGTGTTACTTTAAAAGCTTATCCGTAAAAAGGAGTTTTGATACACTGTATTATTTTTTACAGAATTATAGTCATTAATGAAATAAAAAACAAATTACCAGAAGTTGGAGATTTGCAGCGATCCTCTGGGACTACAGTTCCTTCACTAATATCACATAGACCTGCTAAAAAAAACAGAACCAAACACCAAGTCACAACACAAATTTATGTAAGTGCAGCTGTATTTCCTATTTACACTACACATTTAATGACTGTCTTTGTCAAAAACCCAGTTGAATAGACTGTACTGGCATTGATACTATGCCCATTAATCTTGAGATAGGAAATGAAACATTTTGATATTAAAACACCTCAAAATAATATAGGAGTCACCAGCTAAAGAAAAAGAAAACTTCCAAGAGATAATTTACTATTCTTCAAGGACATAAGACATAAAGTAGGACTTTGTTTAAAATCAGTAATTTGAGAGTATATGATAGACATTAGATTTCTCTTGAAGGAAAATAAATATTTGGTAATAATTTTGGTAATTTTTACAACATAGAAACTCTCAACTCAAGCCTCAATGTGGTTTCTGCAATGTTTCCAATGACCTCCTTGAATATTTTTGAATAATTAAAATATTTTGTGCCTCCACATTTGCAATATTTAAAAGACTGTATGTTACTTGTCATATATAAGATAATGTAAATGTAAAATATTGTACTTTACTTACTATACCTCTTAAAAACTCTACTGCACATTTTTATTTTTATTTTATTTTTTTAAGATTTATCATTCATTCATTCATTCATTCATAGAGACACACACACACACAGAGAGAGAGAGAGAGAGAGAGAGGCAGAGACACAGGTAGAGGGAGAAGCAGGCTCCAAGCAGGGAGTCTGACGTGGACTTGATCCCAGGTCTCCAGGATCATGACCCAGGCAGAAGGTGGCGCTAAACCGCTGGGCCACCAGGGCTACCCCTCTACTGCACATTTTTAAAGAGCTCTAAAGAAATACTTCCTTTTCACAGATATGTACGAACTTTATAAAACTAATATATCTTATACGATGGCTCAGATTCTTAAGAGAAACGATATGCTATGGCTTTTTATGCTGTAGACAAGAAAAAGACATGGTAACATGCAGAGTAAATAATTAGTATGGCTATTAAGTTGCTTAGTGACTGGAATGAAAAGAATTACTGCAAATTCTTTGAAAAGAGAAAAGACCTCAGAAGAAGTTAACCATCATGCTGACATATGTGCATGTATGATCAGTATCCATTTTTCCAATCCTTCAGTAAAAGACATATCACAATCCAGTCACTAAGAAAATTTTTATAACATTTTCAGAGAACACAGAATAATGAATTCGGTTTATAAGAAGAGTTTTCTATTTTGAGTTATATATTATTTTTATTCACTAGGAAGTTTTCAAATGAAAATCAGTAACTTTTTTTTTTTTTTTCTTTTCAGCACTCATTAAACTAATGGTTCTGGGAGGAAAAAAACCCCAAAAATTAGTTTCATAGTTCAAAGAACAATGGATGGAATTTTAGGTATGCATTTAATCTTTGACAAAATACTGTTTATGTAAATGAACTCCTTCTTGATAGAAACTCAAATAACGGGTCTTTATTTTTTTTTAATTTTTATTTATTTATGATAGAGAGAGAGAGAGAGAGAGAGAGAGAGAGAGAGAGAGAGAGGGCAGAGACACACGCAGAGGGAGAAGCAGGCTCCATGCACCGGGAGCCCGATGTGGGATTCGATCCTGGGTCTCCAGGATCACGCCCTGGGCCAAAGGCAGGCGCCAAACCGCTGCGCCACCCAGGGATCCCAATAACGGGTCTTTAAACAGCAGTGATATACAGAAACAAGTGTCCATCGATGGATGCATGGCTAAAGAAAATGTGGAGTATATCAAAATGTGGGTAGTATATATACACAAACACATATACATACATATATACATTCACACACACAATGCAATGTATTCAGCAATAAAAGATTAAAATTGTGCCATCTGTGACAACATGGATGGACCTCAAAGACATATGTTAAATAGAATATGTCAGACAGAGAAAGATAATTACTGTATGATCTCACTTATATGATACAGCGGAATCTAACCCCACCCCCCAAAAATCCCCAAAACAAACAAAAAAACTCATAGATAGAGAACAAACTGATGATTGCCATAAGCAGAGTGTGGAGGGTGGGAGAAATAGGTAAAAAGGGTCAAGGGTACAGAATTCCAGTTACAGTATAAATAAGGGAAGTAATGATAGTGTATTAGATATTCGAAAGCTACTAAGAGTGGAAATAAGTTCTCATTACAAGGAAAAAAGAATTTGTAAGTATGTAATAAGGTAAGGAATGTTAGAGCTACTGTGGTGATCATTTTGCAATGTATACAAATATAAAATCATTATTTGAAACTAATATAATGATTATATGCCAATTATATCTTAATAAATAGTAGTGATAGTATACTCTAGTATTATAGTGTGCCTAGCACTGAGTAAAAATAACAAATTTCAAAATTTTAAGCCTTTCACATCTGGCTCAGGGTAAAAGTCAAGTAAAACCCTATATGGCTGATTGATGTATATGATCTTATGGTCTATACTATATGGCTATGGTATTGGTTTATGATTTCTACCTATAGTATCTTCATGGGTCTTTATTCTGTCATCAAATGTAGTAGTTACTCTTTAGAAACAATAAGCATACCTTCTTTATCATATGTTTAAACAGGTAGCTTAATTAACTATTTAAAATGTTCAACAAAGTATAATTATATATTATTCAGCATAATACATCCATCTACTGAGGCACAATACACTGAATTTAATGTGAAGCTACAAACTGACCCACTAGATAGCATGGTTTAATCTGGGAGCTAGCAACCCTGTTCTGTGAAGGTCCAGATTGGTTTTGAGGCCAGCTAAGCAAATAAGCATGATGTTTTTCTAATTAAACAGTACTGGCAAAAACTGGCAGTGGGCCAGATCTGGCTCATGGACAGTAGTTTGCTGATTCCTGGTTTAATGAATCTTGTAATTGTCAAACTAAAGTAGGTCACTTCCATCTGTCTGTTTCAAAAAAAATATACATGGAATTCTTTATTTAGAATTTGGTTAACTTCAGGAAACCTTATGTCAACAGGCTGCTATGAGACATCAATATAGTTATGAGATTAAAAAAGTAACATCAATTTTGGTACAATTTACTTTTAAAGGATTCCTGTTGACCTTAAGTGATATCTCTATTTTCAATATGTGCACAAACCATTCTAGAATATTTGACTGATTTGTACATTAAACTTACTGATTTATTTGACCTTTATCAACTTGAGTATTGTTAACAAATTCTCTTGGTATGTTTTTATTACCTTATCACTTTTTATTACCAAGGTCTGCCTTATAAATATAATGTATGTATGTATGTATGTATGTATGTATGTATGTAAGTTTAGATTTTCATTTCTCTTAATTATTTTTCATACTTTCCAGAAAGATAAATCATTCCTCTTAATGGATAGTTGAGAAACAAAGTTATTTACCTCTACTTTCTGTTTTTCAACTATAATTTCAAATGATCCCTAGGGTCCTAATCCTTCTTTAATTATATTTTCACTGAAACCAAACATTTTGCTATTTCCCAGTTTTTGAAGACCAGCCTATATTCAACACAGTACTTACTGATTATGCGACACTTATTTATGCATCCTTGATTATATCCCTCATTTATTAAATATTGTGTTTTGTTTCTTATAATAGATAACATACACACACACACAGAAATATCAACTAGTATTACTGGGCTTCACAGCTATTTCTCTTTTTCTATTCTACTGAACATACTGAAGAATTGAAATTAATTGCAATTGTATAACCCAAATCTTCATTTTTAGAGTCACTTCTGTAACTTTTGAAAATATTTTTCCTAAAGTACACACAATTTTGTCCCTCTAATTTCCTTCTTTAGAATTATCAACTTCCAAGACTAAATAAGTTTCTTCTCATGGGTTTATCACTTTCATATCACTAAGAAGATCTTACTTGGGGGTTAGAATTATAGTCAGAATAGAAATTTCCCTTCCGTGTCCTTCACTGAGTGAAAATGTGGCCAGCAAAACAGGACATGTATTATCGTATTTCATTTTTGTTATTATTAAGACTTCCAGCAGATCTACAGGTAGTGGAAATAATTTATCACTATTTGTCCCTGTAACAATCTCATAATTTTTATTATGAAAATACTGTATACATTTCAGTTATGGGCTCAACTGTATTTTAATGCAGTTGTAAAACACATAAACAGTAATGTTTATAAAATAATTTCATGAGTAACACCTTACTGTTTATGAAAACATAACAGAATCTACTAGTAGTAAAAACATTACCTCAAACTAATCTCTAAAATAGATCGAATTTGGTGGTATTTGGGCTACACTTCCAAAACATATTATAAAATACACACTTCTGCAAGAATATCATTTTTATCAATGCAATTAAAGCATTTTGGTACCAATTATGTTATACTTAATTTTATTTGAAATAAATCATATTTTAGAATTAAGGCACAAATATTTTTAAAATGTTAAAGCACATTTTAAAATGACCTTCTTTTAATTTTAAGACATAATTCTAATAGTTACAAGTGAGCGTTTAAGTAAATATCTCAAATAGTTCTCCTGTGCCTAAACATCTAACTCTTCAATATACAATAAAGCAAATAATAATATAAATAATATTATGAGATTTATTACAGAATATACGATGCAATAAAATTTAAGAAAAATATATTTGGTATCACATGATAAAATTGGTCTCTAAACTTGGATAAGTTTAGGTATTTAATTTTTAGCAGTTTTAAGAAACTATGAGGTATCAAGGAGAAAAGAAATTAATTTTAGAAGCAATAAAGTTTTTACACAGGTTTGTGGTAAAATTGCTAAAAGTACTTGCCTCCTCTATCATGACAATATTTTAACTTTCTAACACTAAATATTAGTTTTTTTTGCCTTATAAAGAAACTGGATTGGGACGTAAACATTTCAATAGCTTTTTTTCATATACATATGATGATAAATTTAAGTAATGAGTATATCATTTTAGATATATAATGTTTTAATAAGCTGTTTTTAAAATAAATGAAAAAAATTATTTTACACACAACAAATAAACATGCCACGACGTTACTGACATGAAATAAATAACTTACATAAAGAAGACTGGAGTTTTTTCACAGATTCAGAATATAAGCTAGAAAGGCCGTACATGCAAGAAGTCACAATCAGCATGCCTTAGTGAAGCAATGAAAAGTGAAGAAAAAAAAGGAGACAAAGTACTAGAATGGTATGGTTGGGACAATTTCTGCTGAAGATAACACATGACAAAATGATCACACACAAAAATAAAAATGGAAAAGAAAATCCAAGCATCAGGCCAAAGTGATAGTAAGGTCTATATTCCATCTTTCTTTTTTTTTTCTTTCTCATAAATTGTGACACAGGTAGTATTTTCTATTTATGCCATGAGACCAAATGAGAAATGAATCTCAGAATTTAAATTCAGAGAGACTGAGTTATAAGTATAGAACACATCTTCCCAGTGTTTCACTGCACACTGGCATTCCGCATATCGGCCAAATCTGCCCAAGATAGGGTTCCCCTCAATCCCTGGTCCAGCTGAACAGGTCCTGTGGATACTGGAGCCTATACTGGAGCAATTACTGCAGTAATTGCTGAAGGCCTCACTAATATGACCCTATGTGCCAGAGATCCAATGCCATGAAGTTAAAAAAAAAAAAAAAATCAAGTGAGGAATACTGGTATAGACCACCAACTAGACATATTAATACACTTAAAACTAAGATGAACTGGACGCTTGGGTGGCTCTGTTCAGTGTCTGCTTTCAGCTCAGGTCATGAGCCCAGGGTCCTGGGATGAAGACCAACTTTGGCTTCCTGCTCAGCAGGGAGTCTGCTTCTCCTTCCCCCTCGGATCCTCCCATCCCCCACAGATCCTCCCATCCCCTTGTGCTGGTCTTTCATGCTGTCTCTCAAATAGATAAGTCTTTAAAAATTTTTTTTAAAATAATATAAAATTAAGGCTAATTACCTAGTAAATACAAAAGAATGCTATACAGAAAATCATTGGATCTTGGTTTGTATTGAATCAAGGCTACCTGAGAACACTGAATTTTCACAGAACTCAAACTCATTTTTGCATTTACATTTTTTTCTGCATGGGAAATAATCCCTTAAAATTACATCGTTTCAACAATGAATTTTTGGTCTTATAATACCAATCAATAAAAGGGGCAATACTTTGAAATTAACTTTTGTTCCATAATAAGACAAATTTTCATCTCATTATAATTTAGCTGAAGAAGCTTGCCACTGTGGTTCTTTCCCAACATTAATTAAAATCCTAGGATATTTAAAACAAAAGCAAAATCTAAAAGCAATACAAAATAAAGAAGGCTCAAACCTTTTACGAGTTTTGACAGTTTACATATATAGACTAAGTCAGACAAGGTATTTATCTAACTTTAGTATTTATATTCACATAAGTAACTCAGTATTTATAGAAATCCTAAAACTCAAGATTTTTTTCTTTATACCTCCTGAAGGTTGTCGAGATTTACGAGGAGACCGGGGTTCTCTCCGGTAAGGATCATTGGAGCCATACAATTCAATAGTGCCCAGATTGAGGAGTACTGCTTTCTGGAGGTAGTCTACCATTGCAATGCCATTACAATTGCCAAAAACTACCCTGGGAATAGGAAAAGAGCAAATATTTTAGCATAAATAAGTAATTATAAGGAAATGTACCTGTATAAGGCTGAAAGGAAGAAGGATGGGTTTTTCAGAAAATTCCTCTTTGTATCTAAAGATTATCAAGGACATGAAAATACAGATAACATATGTCTTTTCATGGAACAATGTATATCTTCTACAGACATTAATGATTACAAGTCGATGTTGTTAAAAAAAAATGTTGGCGTAGGAAACTGAAACTTGATCACAGACATAAATCCCCATTCTAATCAATGTGACATCTATTTTTCTGACTTAGGGGCATTTTGGGAAGCTTGAGGGAAGGCCCATTCCCTTCTAGGGGAGTGGAACATTTTATCTCTGGGAAAGTTTTGATAATCTATACAGTCAAAAATAAAAAGTAGAAAGCATAAACCTTGGAGGTCTCCCTTTGGAGTACTCCAGATATCTTTCCAATTATAAGTCAGGAACTACAAACCAAACAACTACGAATAAAGGAATGTAACTCTTTTAAGATGTCTTAAACCAGGAGTTGAAAACTGAAATGTATACAGAGACTCTGTAAGTAATACAAACAGGCCAGACAAGGACTGTGGTGAACTAGAGAGAATATGACCCATCTATCTAAGTAGGAAAAGTCTGAATTCTGTTCATGTTGACCACTGCCAAGCAGGAATGGAGACATGGGCCAGATAATCAGATTTTTCAGTTAAAGCTCTAAATATGGATTTCACATTAAATAGTCTTGGCAGCTAGTTCAAATATTAAAAACGTACAAGGGAGGGACTAAATAAAACGTTAACTGTGAGCCCATGAGCCTATGATCAATCGATTTGTAACTTCCTTTGAAACTTCCGACAGTTCTTTTTATTATTCCCTCTTTCTTTATAGTTGTGCAATGAAATATTAAAACGGAGGTTTGTGTTCTTACATTGTGGGGTAGCAAATGAAAGATTTGCTGAGAGATGACCTGAGAGATGACCATCTCAGACTACAGCCAGTCTTAGCTGGTATAGAACTACAGGGATAGGGTGAGTGGTAGTAGTTCTAGGAGGAAGAAGAAAGATGAACGAGTCTTCAGGGCTAACATCAAAGAAGACAACAGTGACCCACATACTGAGAAATAGCGCTGGAACTACATAGTGTGTGGCTTCTCTTTTACCACAATGTTGATTTTTAAACAAACAAAAGTACTTTGTAAGTCTACCAAATTATAATAGAAAGTATGAATAATTAATACTCAATACTTGAGGGTATGAACTGATAAAGCAACTATAGTAATAAATACTTTATCAAACTATTACTATGCCTTTATAATTTATACACGTGAATTTTGGAAGTAGAAGAAATTATATAGCTCTGGTTCAACATTTACAGAATTAGCTTAGAACAAAGTCTTCAGAGTTGATGTTATCAGACCTCTATTATACTGAGCATTAAGAAGAAAATTGTTTCTCAGAGTTTATCCAGGAGAAGACATGTTGACTTTAAACCTTTATCTTAATTTATCATGAAGCACTATAAGTATATCCTGAGTAATTTATTTGGAACAGAGTTATTTTCCAAATAAACACTAAATATGATCTGAAATTAAACAACTTTTTATACAACTTTTTAACTGATGCTCTAATAAAAGTCATCCTATTTTTATAAATGAAAAAAATGTATGGCATAGTATGACGAGACTGAAAAACACATAAATTATACTTACAATCCATATGAAGAATTGACTGCCAGGCTGGTTATTTGTTGTGGTGGTTCTCCACCCACCCATACCAACTGAATAACTAGTTCTGTTTGATAACCTGGAGACTGCTTAAGTGGTGAATTTTTAACTCTGTAATAAAGGAAAACACATTATCTTTTAACCCATCTTCAAGTATCTTATTAACTTATGTAATTATAAAGTCATGCATAAATATGCAAACAGTAATTTATATATGAAATTGTACTAAATATACAAAAATGAAAAAAAAAACTAAATCCTTTTCTCTAGAGGCATTTAATCTAGTTGGAGACAAAGTATGCACATAAATAACAAAAGTAAGAAATCATACATAAGTTCCCATTACAGACTGGGGGGTTGGAATTAGGGAGGGAGAAAAAGACCATGGGTAGGAAGGGGAAGGAGGAATGGGGAAAGGAATAAGGAGAATGAGAAGCCTATGAATTAAGAAGAGGAAAGAAAAATCAAGTTGGAAAAAAATTCAAGTTAGAAAAATAGACTTAAATATATGGTTTAACAAAATTAAAAGTAGCCAAAACATAGTGAGTACAAAAATTTAAAAAAAAAAGTGACAAATTTACTTTTGTGTGCATGATGCTTTCACTATTAAAAAAATGTACTCTTGGGCAGTGCAGGTGGCTCAGCGGTTTAGCGCTGCCTTCAGCCCGGGACCTGATCCTGGAGACCCGGGATTGAGTCCCACGTCGGGCTCCCTGTGTGGAGCCTGCTTCTCCCTCTGCTTGTGTCTCTACCTCTCTCTCTCTCTCTCTCTCTCTCATGAATAAATAAAAATCTTTAAAAAGAAAATTTAAAAAAAAGATTAAAAAATAAAATAAATAAAATAAAGTACTCTTTAAGTTGAGAGTAATTTTGGTTGTAGACTCTTTCCCCAATAATTGCTGAATAGGTGCTCAAAATATATTGCTTTTGCAAACATATGCAAACTAGTAGTAGGAAACCCACAGTAAAAGATTAACAACTGTGTAAGTTTGCTCACAGTGGAGGTATGTGTAGTAACAGTGAGAAATCAATATAGCAAGATAGGCTAGGTGCAGACTTTAGAGGGTCTTCAAAGCCTGGCTGCAAAGGTCTGATGTTGGTAGAAAGAACTGAGGGCTTTTTAAAAGCTAGAGTCTAAATTCTGGTTTTGCCATTTTCCAGATGTCTTCTTTTTGTTTTTTTTTTTCTTTTAAAGACTTTATTTTTTTTATTCATGAGAGACACACACACAAACAGAGGCAGAGACATAGGCAGAGGGAGAAGCAGGCTCCATGAGGGAGCCCGATGCAGGACTTGATCCCAGGACTCCAGGATCATGCCCTGAGCCAAAGGCAGACACTTAACCACTGAGCCACCTAGGTGTCCTTCCAGTTGTCTTCTTATTGTCCAAATTTTAGAGTAAACATGAATCATTGAGGGTGCTCCAAAAATGAACGGAGTTACAGTCACTTCGTGCAATACCTGTAAGGCAGGACACTCAGAACTGTATGCTGGATGAGCAGACATTCTGGCTTTTCTCAGAGAAATACCACTAATCAGTGGTGGCCGTCCATCTCAAGAGATAGAAATGAAAATAGAGTATTCTTCAGAATAGAAGAATCTGTGTTATTTTTTCCTTGGATAAATTAGGTAAGGTTCAAAGAAGTGTCCACCTTCTTCTAGCATATTTAACATGCACATTAGATTAGAGCAGGAACAAAAATACAGGGATAGTATCAGAAGTGTGTACATGGGGACATTTAAAACTTCAGTGATGAAGACATACAAAATTCATGGAATTCTTAATTAGTAAGAATAAACAAACAAACAAAAAATTCTTAAGCAAAAATAAGCCAGTTAAGCCTGCTGCAAAATCCCCAATAGGTAAAAAAATTAGAGACGGGATCAAGAAATAACAGGATAGGTTAGATTTAAAAATGCAAAATAGGGACGCTTGGGGGCTCAGCAGTTGAATGTCTGCCTTTGGCCCAGGGCATGATCACAGGATCTGGGATCCAGGATGGAGTCTCACATCAGGCTCCTTGCAGGGAGCCTGCTTCTCCCTCTGTCTGTGTCTCTGCCTCTCTCTCTCTCTCTCTCTGTGTCTCTCATGAATAAATAAATAAAATCTTTAAAATGCAAAATAGGGGATGGGTGGGTATAATATTTTATGTCTATAATGTTTACATGTTGGGATCCCTGGGTGGCGCAGCGGTTTGGCGCCTGCCTTTGACCCAGGGCGCGATCCTGGAGACCCGGGATCGAATCCCATGTCGGGCTCCCAGGGCATGGAGCCTGCTTCTCCCTCTGCCTGTGTCTCTGCCTCTCTGTCTCTCTCTCTCTCTGTGACTATCATGAATAAATAAATAAAATCTTAAAAAAAAAATGTTTACATGTGAATTATTTTAATATATGTAAATGAAGGTTTTACTTTTTAAAGACAAGGAGCTGAACGTTTATAAAAAGCTCCATAGTTTGTACAAATATATATATATTTGTGAGAGACACAGAGAGAGAGGCAGAGACACAGGCAGAGGGAGAAGCAGGCTCCATGTACGGAGCCTAACATGGGACTTGATCCCGAGTCTCCAGGATCAGGCCCTGGACTGAAGGGGGCGCTAAACTGCTGAGCCAGGCTGCCCTGTACAAATATATTTTAAACGTATGTTTGGAGACTTTGCTGTTTCAAAATGTCTGTTCGGACTGCAAAAGCCCAATTAAAATACCTAAAAACACAAAATTTTACTGGTTATAGGAATAAATTGAATAACTACTCTTAAAATGTTTCTTCAAAGGAACAATTACATATGAAAGCATTTTGTATAAAAACAAAGTAGTAATTATTTTAATATCAATTTGATTATATTTCTGACATTTAAAAATTGGCTTTTGGGACTGTGGATGAAAACTATGTGAAGTTAATAAATAACTGCATTTACCAGAAAACTGTTCAGAAGAAAAAAAATGAGGTATAACTCAAATTGCCTGTGATTAAAAAGTCATTGGTAAATTTGTCAATTTTAGACAAAAACCTTAAAAACTTTGTCATAAAAATGTTATCAAAACAAACATCAAAGACAAATTGTACTTTACAGGCTTATAAGACTTGAACTTAACAAAGGCTGGAGAAATACACATTAAAATCAAAGAACATTAATGGAAATTTTACAAATTTAAGTTTAAAGCAAAGCAGTACTGAGTAAGTAACAACATGGAAGAATGTAGAATTCTCTGTATTTCCAATTTCATTCTAGCAAAACATGTGCCAGAACTGTAGCAAAAAGGAGGATGTGTATGTATACACTTGAGAGAGGGCCAAAAAAAAAAAAAAAAAAAAAACCCAAAAACCCTGAGACCTGAGAAATGTGGCTGCTTAACCTGAATGCTTACATTTTTTAGATCAGATCAGAGTCTCCTGTTGGCACTAGTGGCATTCTGACCTGCAAGTTCTTTGTTGCAGGGCACCGTTCTGCACGTTTGAGCATCATCCCTGACCTCTATGCACGAGATGCCAGCAGCACCCTGTTCCTACTGTTGACAAGTAATAACGTCTCCAGATATAGCCAAAAAAATGATGAGGAGCAAAATCATCTCTGAGAACCACTAACATAGAACACACAATCTCAAATTTATATAAACGTATAGATTTTTTTTTTTGAAGTCTGTAATTTTGGGGGCACCTGAGTGGCTTAGGTGGTTAAGTGTCTGCTTTTGGCTCAAATCCTGATTTCAGGGTCCTGGGATCTAGCTCTGCATTGGGCTTCCCGCTCAGCAGGGAGTCTGTTTCTCTCTCCCCCTCTGCTGCTTCCCTCTCCCTACTAGTACTCATGCTAATCTCTCAAATAAATAAAAATCTTAAAAAAAAAAAAAGTCTACACCTTTTAAATGATATAAAAAAATCTGCCCATATCTTCGGAGTCATTGCAATGCAATGCTAGTTACACAGACATTCTCCACAGCAATTCTTTACTACTCATCAAGAGAAGAAACTCCAGTAGATCTAAAACACAACTGGGACAAAACCTGGTTCTTTTAACAAATGCCAATGATCTCTCATTAGGCCTCCCTACCTTGAATCCACTAATCTGGCTTTTGCACATCAACTCATATACTGAATTTCTTTGACATTTTCCATAACCACTTTTTTTAGTCATTACCCCAACTGAACTTCTTTGTAAATGTAATTAATCACAGTCTTATAAAATTTTTCAGTGATCTTAACTTTTTCCTCATTCCTTTATTTCTCTGTCATATTTAAGGCTCATATCCTTGAAAACATTTAACAACTCAATAATATAAGTCAGAAAAAGAAAGGATAAGAAAGTTGTACCCAATTTATTCCTGTATAAAAAAGCAAAATGTATTCATATCCAGAATGCTACAATAAAGGCATTTAAATAATGATACTGGTGTGCTAGAGAAGATTTAGAAAGCCAAGAAAATGATTACAAAATGACTGAATCTCTAAAGACCAAAAAAACCAGAACTTTCAGAGCAGTAGAAAGCAGTCTACATATATATTTGATCCGCATTGAATCCAGAGTAGAAAACATCTATAGATTTGAAGATTGAGCTATATATACAGAAAAGATCCACACTGTTCTACGGGTATGTTTACAGATCAAATCTTAGCACTTTAAAGATAAACATCATGGAATTCAATCATATTCCTTTTGATACCATAGAAAAATGAGTTGTAGTAACCACAGCACAACCCAGAAAGAAATGTCATTTTTCTCTATCACAGGAAATTATCACTGTAATAAAGCTTATAATTTTTCTAAATTAAATTTATCTTATTTCCAAAACATCTGTATTTTTTAATAACATACTTTAAACAAGGGACATTATCACGAAGCCCATCAGATGAACTGCTACTGGTAGAAGGATGAGACTGAGGAGGAATGGGCTGAGGAGTGGCGCCCCCCACTGGTGTTGGCAAAGGCGGTGCCTGTTCGCCCTCTGGGGATTCCACATCATTTATTTCATATAACAATCTAACTTCAAGCATCTGTTGTAAAAGAAAGACAGTTCTACTTTTAATAATTATTCATCTTATACACTTTCCACAAAAGATAGATGGCAATGAAAACACTTAAGTGTTCTTAAAAATTCTAGATAAAATTGACTTCAAATAATTTAAATAGTTCAAAAATTTTAAATGTCAGACATCTGACACTGAAAATAATTAAGAGACTATTACCGGAATGACTTCTGTTATCACTTCTTGTTTGCTGAATCTATAAATAATGACATGAGCTGAAACTCCAGCTATGCACAGCATTCTACTTTCTGGACACCAGGAGATAATCTGAATGGCATATGGGTCTTCATCTACAATGTCTGTGTTTGGTCTGTCATCTTTATTTCTTGACTTTTCAAATACTTTAGATGTCTTTAGTTTATATAATACTTGCAGAGTTACTAGAAAAAAACATTTGTTAGATACTTTAATACAAAAAGAAGAAAGAAGAAATACAAGGTAATATGTAATCAGTCAAACTATCTAAGGAAAACAGCCTATATTTATTTGAACCATATTTTTATTTTCAGGTCTACATTTCTCAATTACACTTTTAGACAATGCAATCACTGTACCTATTGACCAAAAAAAAAAAAAAAAGGTGTACTGTTGTTAAAAACAAAACAAAAAACACATGATAATGAATTAGATAACCTGAAAAAAAGACAAATAGATTTTTCAAAAAAAAGTATAAATATAATGAAAACAATAAAGAACATATTTGCTTTCTAAAATGTTTTCTACATATTTTCCCTGTAAAAGGTACTAATAAATATTATCTCACACTTCTATATGATGAAACACAAAAGATCACGAGTTAACTGGATTCTCACTGTTTGCTATATATATTTGGCAAACACTGATGATTCAAACCATTCTTTCCTTTTTTGATATTGTGTAAGCACCATATATATATATTCTGTCAAGAAAGCACAAATTACTGTTAGTATAAAATCAGGCATTAGGGGGCGCCTGGGTGGCTCAGCGGGTGAGCGTCTCCCTTTGGCTCAGGGCATGATCCTGGAGTTCAGGGATCGAATCCCATGTCATGCTTCCTGCAGGGAGCCTGCTTCTCCCTCTGCCTGTGTCTCTACCTCTCTCTCTGTGTCTCTCATGAAAAAAAAAAAAATCTTAAAATAAAAACCCAGGCATTAAAATTATTCTACAAATTTCTGTTGATTTGAAATATATTCCCATTTTCATCTCTGATTTAAGGAAATTTTGAAGACAGAATTTGATTACTTTTGTTGAGACTCATTCTTGATTTACTGGTTAATATCCTTAAAAATATCTTAAACATCTATTAGAAATTCTAAACTATACTTGATAAATCAGGTATTAAACTCATAGCTCCCAAATTTTAAATTAAATGTTGGTTATGCAATTATAAAACATGTTGTAATAAAAGCAGTGATTGTGAAACATATAACAAATAATATTCAAATTACTTACTTGCAGAAGCATCCCAGAACTTAACAGATCCATCAGCATGCCTATGAAAAGCAAATGAGTTAAAATTGTGAAGAAAAAAAGAAAAAAAAAAAACCCTACATATTTTTCTTTCTTTGAAGTATACTGTTATGTGAAAAGACAGCAACCAAAATAAAGAAGTGTAAAATTCATGGTAAACTGGCAGGTTCCAGACAACAACATTTCTTAATAAGTTACAGCATAAAGCAAAGCATTACCTGCCCAATTAATTAATATTCATGTAGTCTTAATGATATCTAGCTATTAGAGATTTAGTGGTGAAACAGGATTTTACTTACCCTGTAATAATTATTTCTGGGTAACTTTGAACACCCAAGCCCCAATTACCTCCATTAATGGGCCATTCCTATAAAAAAAATTATTGTATAAAGCAACTTCCAAGCATACGTCTTCATATATATTTCTATGACAACAGTAAAAAACATATTTTGCTTCAAAAAGGGATTTTCTATATATTTTCTCTAAAAAAGATATCAATGTTATAAAATACTCCAAGGTGATACATATAAATTACTGAAATGTAACATTAATTACTAAAACTCATGTTCTATACCTTTTTGCTGTAACCTTGACGTTTCTGTCTGGCTCCAACAGAATAAAGTGCAGGAATAAGGTCCACAGGACAATCAGCAAAATATTCGCAACATGTAACAGGGGATTCATGTATACTCAAAGGGTACGGATTTTCAAATATAGGATATCTTTAACAACAGGAAAAGAGAAATATTTATTAATTTAATAAAATTACTATGAAAATGAGAACCTAAAAAAAATACAGCTTTGGAATGAAAACATTTTTAAAACTTTGATTAATTTAAAGATAATAGCCTATGAAGATCCATATAACATATTACCTGAATTTACATTTTAACTTTGGGGATACAATGCTCTTCTCTGTATTTTTGGAAACTACATACATTCTACCAGAGATTTAACAGATTTAATTCATGTAACTATGTAAAAAATAAAAAATAAAAAAATAAAAAGGCATCTTTTATAATGCAAGTTGCTCAGTTAGAACAATAAATAGAAAAGCTGCAGTTGGAACTCTGTACCATGTGGCACACTGGCCTGAGTGCTTTATATGTACATTTATCTTATTTGCTTTTTGCACCAAACATATGATGTAGACATTTTACGGAAGAACAGAGTAATGTGCCAAAGGCATGCCAGCTAGCTAGAATTTAACCTGTGCACTTTAGCATTAAGGTATAAGGTTCTCAATCAACAGATCTTAGATCTTTATGTCAGTAGAGCTAATACAAATTTTCAATTCTCCTTTTTTCCCCATTAATGTAATGCCTGGTAGAACATTTAATATAGAGATGCTCGGGGCAGCCGGGGTGGCTCAGCGGTTTAGCGCCACCTTCAGCCCAGTGCCTGATCCTGGAGACCCAGGATGGAGTCCCATGTCGGGCTCCCCACATGGAGCCTGCTTCTCCCTCTGCCTATGTCTCTGCCTCTCTCTCTCTCTCTCTCTGTGTCTCTCATGAATAAATAAATAAATAAAATCTTTAAAAAAATAATAATAATATAGAGATACTCTTTTGTTTCGGTGATAATAAAATTCTACCTTAAAGGCTTTCTAGATATGAAATTATTTCATTAAATAAAGCAAAAAATGCTTTCAAAAATTTTAATTTTAAAGTAAAACCCTTACTACATATGCAATGATATTCTTTTCTGGTTTGAATTCCTTGAGAATGATTACTTAAAAATATCTGGGAAACCAGAATATGGCATAAAAACTCTAAAAAGTTCAGAGTGGCACATCTGCAAAAATTAGATGTATTTATCAGTCTACTATTGACAATCATTTAAAAATCAGAGAAGAATATTTTCAGAAAAGTCCTTTCTAGATTTCAAAATGAACCAAACTGTTGTAACTCCTTCCTCAACCACACATAAAAACACAAGGAAAAACGCAACAAAAATATGAATTAAAAACATGGCAGGTAACTTTGTTCTCTTTATAACAACACTTTATAATCCTTAAGCTCAACGATTCTACTATTATACATTTAATTGATGCATTTGATAAATAAAATGCCTAGTCACAGGTTATTTGCACAGTATTTTAACTTACATATATATCAGTATAGACAACACATAAAAGTCTCATATACTATATGAAAAGTTAGCGAAGACAAGAAAATATAATTATATTAAGAATAAATTATTCTAGGGGTGCCTGCCTGGCACAGTCGGTTAAGCATCCGACTCCTGGTTTTTGCTCAGGTCATGAGTTCAGGGTCATGGTGCCAGGTCTGCACTGGGCTCTGCACTCAACATGGAGTCTGCTTAGGACTGTCTATCCCTCTCTTTTGCCCTTCCTCCTCCACATGGTCTCTCTAAAATAAATAAATAAATCTCTCTTTTTTTAAAAGAATAACTTATTCTAGGACTGTCATTTACATCTATCTATCTATCTATCTATCTATCTATCTATCTATCTATCTATCTATCAATCTATCATCTCTATGTCAGAGAGAAAGAGAGGGAGAGAGAGAGAGAGCATGAGTGGAGTGGGAGGGGTAGAGGAAGACTCAGACTCTCCTCTGAATTGGGAGCCTGATGCGGGGCTTGATCCCAGGATCCCGAGATCATTTAGAAATGTTTTTAAATTCCTTTGATCCACTTATGGTCCTGCAATTTTTTAAAAGGAAAAAAATACCCAATTAATAATTACAAGTAGCACATACTAAGTTGATGTGAACCTAGGAATGCCTTAAAATCAAGTTAAATAATATTATTCACTTATTCTTCAGGGTTTCCCAATCCTGGTACTATTCACATTTTGGATCAGATAATTCTTTATTATAAGGACTCTCCCCTGTGTACTGTGGATGTTTAGCAGCATCCATATCCTCTACCACTAGATGCCAGTAGCATCTACAAAAGATATTTATATAGACTTTGTCAAGTATCTGGGGCTAGGCGAAGCAAAATATCCCCTTGTTGAGAAATACTGAAATCCTGAATGGGTAAACTCAATTTAATGTTTAATGATTATCTCTCAGGAGATACAAATAAATAATGTAATATCTTTCATAGAATTTATAAGTAAACACTATCATCTATGTTAGAAAAAGCAGAACATGACAAATACCACAAAAAGTTGCAAAGGAGCTACGGAGGCCATTTACAGATAAGACAGATGTGTATATATATGTGTATATATACACATATATATAAAATCTCCTTGCAGCTGTTGGGAACCTGTAAGAAAAGACACTGAAGTATGATCACAGTTCAGTTTTTCTAGGGAATAAGGCACCTGTAGTAAGATAGTGAAAAATCAGGTTGGAAAGGTATCTTAAGTTCCTACTGTGAAGAGTAGTAGGCTGGGAAGGTGCTTTCAAATCAAAGCAGTAGAGACCACAGTGGTTTAAAGAGGAGACTAACAGGGCACTTGGTTGGCTCCATCAGTAGAGTATAAGACTCTCAAAAGAGGAGAATGGCAATCTTGGTACTGAGTGTAAAGTTACTCTGACAATGTATTCATAACAGTGCCACCAAGATTGCATAGGGTTGGAGAGACCACAGAGCTTATTATATGGAGGTAAAATGTGATGGGATTAATTTTGGTTTTGTTCATTTTGTTTGTCTCCAAGGTGCCCAAGTATTAGATTGAATCATGAAATTTCAAAATTTCAACAAATTTTGACTTAAAAAATGGAAATTCTATATGAACAACATATTAGAGAAATCTGACAGGTAATCAGAAATGTGTACCTGGAATTGTAAAAAAAGGTCAATATTATGGGTATAAATGTAGTGTTTTCAAAGAGAAATAGCCAATCCTATGCTAAAAAGAGTCTTTTTCATCACATCCTAAAATAATCTCTCACAAAATTTTATTTCTTACCCATTTTGAGCAAGGTCTATAAGTACTAAATCTTTTTCCAGAAGAACCACCACAGCATATGGTTCCTGAAAATCTGGAATAGGAAAACAATGCATGAACAATAGTTTTAAATATGCAAGAAGACAGCAAATTAGGTAATAAATATTTGCTTGTTTTTAATTTTATTCCATTCTCTCAAGTATGTAACATTCTCATCTATTTTATATAACTTAAGACTACTTTGTCTTAAATGAGATAAATCTATGTAATAACTCAGAAAAAATTATTTCAGTTTTGTAAAGATGAAGAAGACAAGAAGTTCATAGTAACTTCTATGGTATTACAAAATCCAAGACAGGACATGGGCAACAAACCCAAAATTTAAATTACAACACCCATAAGAATAATTCTTACTATTGTACCTCATAGGAACTTGAATACTACTATACTAATTTCTTTATTTTATATGCACCTATTTAACTATAAAATGCATTACAGATTTACATCTCAATTTATTTCAAATGAAGTAAAACATATCCAGATTTAAATTCCTTTTGAAAGAATATATGATAGTTGTGATGGTTAATTTTATGTGTCAGCTTATCCTTGCTTTGATGTCTAGTTGTTTGGTTAAACATCAATCCAGATGTTGCTGTGAAGGTATTCTTCAGATGTGATTAACATTTAAATCAATATCAGATATAATGTGGGTGGGCTTCAATCAGCTGAAGGCCTGAAGAGCAAAGATAGGTTCTAAAAAAGAAGGCATTCTGCCTCAAGACAACAGCTCTTTCCTGAATTTTCAGCCTGCTATCTTGCACAATGAAGCTGACTTATTAGCCTCCACAAGTATATGAAACAATTTCTTAAAATAAATTCATTCTTTCTTTCTTGCTCTCTCTATACTTTATTGGCTCTGTTTCTCTGGAGAACCTTGACTAATACACTAGTATTTTATAGAATTCTAAAGAAACTGTTTCATTTATCCTTAAGTGGCACTAAAGACTACTACTATGTCATACTAAACAGATAAAGCTTATTAACTTCTGAAATAAAACTTGTGAAGTTATAAAGACAGCATCTCTCTCCCAGAAGAATTACAGCATACTAGGATAAGGAAACTATTTAGAAAACCTATAGGTCTTTGTTCTGAATAGCAGATATCTATAGAGAATGAGTTTTAAAGATGCAAAGCTTATTACCATTTGGGTATGGTGTTTCACACAGCGTTAGAAAATCGACAATTGAATAGTCCATTTCCAGCACAGCAGTACTTTTCCCATGCATAACTGTTAAGCAGGGTCTTCTTCCTACAGTATCATAGGACAAACCTCCTGATAAAATAATAAAAGGTTCCCTGGAAATAAAATACATAGGCAGGATTATAAAAGCATAGTGAAGACTATTTTCTTGCCATATCATAAATTTTTTATTTAGTGAAATGAAAAATTCTAACACATTCTAATGCATGATTTAATTGAATATTCATATGTGACTTTTTAAAATTGCACTAGGTGAGACCCAAGTGAATTCATGAAAATTACCATACAATAAGAATGAACACTGACTATATTCGACTCTTTCATACCTTCCCTTGGTTTCTAAAATTTTTTCCTTTATCTTCTTTATACAACTGTCAAAAAATTCTCTCTGGGTTACTATAGGTCAAGTATCTTGGATGAACTGCCTTTATTTCCAATCCTAATAACCAGGCCTTCTCAACAGAAGGTCTAAGAATGTTAATGGCCTGAGGCATACTGTATGTAACAAATTAACTTCTCACTGATGTCAGAAATGTACTAGCTATGAATCACTCTTGAGAAAACAGTCACTAAAAATCATTTTCTGTAGGGCTTACTTCTGGAATTTTGGCTGTATGCTCTTAAACCAAAGCTCCCATGTACATCTAGCAGCTTGCCACTTAGATCTAATTAACTCTACAACTCTATTAACCACTACTTAGTGATTTACCTAGACCCACTTTTTAAAACTGTATTTCTTAAATGTGCAAAAGACAAAGTATCTTTTTATATATTTTGGCCTGTATTCATCTTTGTCTTGATTATTCAAGTTTTTTGTTCATGTTTTCATTCTATTAGTAATCATTTTCTAATTGTTTTATTGATAAGAGTTCTTTGCATTCTAAGGAATTAGCTTTTGGTCTGCTATGTGTCTCACTATTTGCTGGGGGAGAAGTTGTTTATGATACATTAAATAAATGATGTTAAAAGTTTGATATAAGATTTTCTTTCTTAAATCTCTTCATTTATGATTTTTTAGGTAGTTTCTGAATGCTCACTTTAAGGTCAGTAGATCCATCTTCTTCCTCCACATCTGATATAAACGGTATGTAATAATATGTAATTGTTACAAACACTAGTTCCTATTTACTATTATTTTACAAAAATGCTAATTTTTATATTTAACTTAGAGCTTGTTTGTTGCTAAAAGGCTGTGAATAATGAAACAATAAGATCAAAGCAATATTTTGTTACTTCTTTAAAAAATGCTAGTTTGGGAACTAAGCTATCTGAATTTAAATTAAATTTCAGCTCTGGTTTTCCTTTCTGTGTGATGATAGTGGACAAGCTGCTTAACCTCTCTGTGCCTAACTTTTGCATCTATAAAATGGAGATTGAATGACATGTATCTACCATCAGACAATTGTTGAATTAATATACAGAAAGCACTGGGGTCAATGTCTAGTACATAATACACCTTTGGTAAGATTTTCCGATTATTATTACTAGGATCATCAAATTACAATTATTATCCATTATGAAAGTTTCCCTTCTTTTGACATGTGGAAAGTAACATTAGAATGTCTACATTATATTTATTTTTATCTTACACTCTAGAATAAACTCCACTAAAATTTACTTAGACTAGTAGTACAAGTGTATAATTTATAAAGAAATATATTAAGTCAAATAACTGTTCAATACTTAAACATTTTACCTATTTAAGTACATAAAATAACATGTATATATGTCTATTTTATTTAAAACTATACTCTCATGTGTCCCTATTTTATTTTTTTCATAGCATTAAAATTTATTTGCTTATTGGTTTTCTCATGAAAATGCAAGCTCGAGGGCAAGATTTGTTCATTTTGTTCATTGCTATATCCATAACATAATGAATAGAATAAGTAAATGAATGAATAGAAGTGTATGTGACACTACCACTCTCTAACTTACTATCATTTAAATTTTTTGCCACTAAACTGATTTGGGTAATCTCATTTTTCCACCTAAGCAACAGTAATCAAAGCTTAAAATTCCCAAACAGAATTACGCTAATTGTATTGTACACCAATATACTGTTTCAGTCTCTTTGCATAGTATTATTATTATGGTTGTAGCTAGGAAAGCATATTTAATTTTCTTTCCTTCTTATCACATATAATGAATAAAGAGGATACATTTCCTCTCGTGTACTTTGAAATATAGCACATAACTGAATACAAAATACTAGGAAGAAGGATGAAGAATCCAACTTCATCTTTTACAGAGTGGGAAGCCCGGGCCACATGTATTTTATATGTAATATTTAAAAATAGTCTGATCAATGTTTTTACACATAGCCAACTTAAAAAAAAAACAAAACATTATTAATGTAAGAACCAGGAAGAGGGAGATGCTGAACTTCACTACAGAATAAAATTTCCATGGAAATACCAGGTAGGTTTGCCAGGTAAGTCACTCATTTATTAGATAAATTCTTACTATGGTATTTAATAACACTATGGCAATCGGGTAGATTTATCTTCAAAAGGCAACTAGGTGTGTATCCACTGGTCTTGTAAGTTGCCTACACTTCTTTTCTACTGTTAAAAGTGAAAAAATATATGATGAAAAAGTGATAAAAATATATGAATAAAAAATGACTAAGAAACAGTTTCAAAGAAATACCAAGGTATTTTACATAATTATCAAAGTTCCCTAAATCTAGCAGTAAATACATATGGATATGCATATATATGTATATATTTAATTACCCAACAGATATTTTTTTCATTATAAAGAATGAAACTTTGAAGAGTAGATATTAATGAGATGATTATTTTATAAGCAGTCATAAATACAATGATAAAATATTTTAATACTAGATAGTGAAAATTATAAGTTGTTTTACTGGTATTTAGAATTACATAAAAAATTCTTGAAGTCTAGATTATTTCTAGGTAGTGTATGAATTATGAAGGTAGATAATCTTATTGTTTTTAAACACAATTTTATCTTTTTTGATGTTATAATAAGGCCTGGAGGTAATATAATTTTTATCCCGTAACTTTAAGTAGAATTTCAGTAGAATTTCTTTCAATGATATTGGATGTTCCTCAAGACTGTCATTTTGTGAAGATATCCACATTAGAAAGGTATCTGGACATTTTATCTATCTATATACCTACCTACCTACCTACCTACCTACCTACCTACCTACGAATGAAAGCAAGCACCATGCACCTGTGCATGCAGGGATGGGCAGAGGGAAAGGAAAAGAGAAGCAGGCTCCATGCTCAGCATGGAGCCTGAGGTGGAGCTGGATCTCATTACCCTGAGATCATGACCTGTGTTGAAGTCAAGAGTCAGATGCTTAACCAAATGAGCCATCCAAGTGCCTCTGGACCTTTTAAAATCTGATTGAAATTTTTAAGAGGGTAAACACTTAAAAGTAACTCCGTTGTCCTTCTAATTTCCCCAGGCTGGCCTTGATAAATGGTTTGGCTCCAGTTGTTTCATACGAAGCACTTTTAACTTAAGGAAGGCACTTCTACCCAAAAAGCCATTTTTATAAGCAATTTGTTCCACTCAGTTCTATAACATTACCCATTCATTCAAATTTTCAAATTTATTTTGAGCACCTGTATTCCTGAAAATAAAACAGTGCTCTCATGTCTAGTCTACATGGACAAGCACATAGGAACAAGTGTTACAAAGAGAATAAGACAAGGTGGAGTGGTGACCTGGGTGCAAGGGAGGTGATAGAGCAGTTACTGTAAGATGGTCAGAAAAGATCCTTGAAGTAATGACATATGAGCAGAGCTAGAATGATGAGCAACCAGTTACTTAAACAGCTTGGGGTTGAGGAGAAAGGAATATACATTCTAGGCAGCAGGAATAACAACTGCAAAGACCCCAAGTCAGGAATGAGTTTGATATATCTGAGGAACTAAATGGCCAGTGGAGCCACAACACACTGAGTAAAGCAATACATGGTAAGAGATGACCCAACTCCAAATCCTATAAAATGCATCCTGTTTCCTCTGTTAGGATTTTAAGAACCTGTCTTGTCCATTTCATCCCCATAATGACTTTAGTTCTGACCCTAATAAACTGTAGCTGAAATTATTATAATAGTATTTGCACACATTGTTTATTGCCTGAGATATACTTCCTCTCATTTTGTTTGACTTTAAAATTTTAAAACTCAGTCCAATTATCATCTCCTCAGAAAAACTTTCCCTGATCCATCCACCCTTTCCTGTACATCCAATCCTGTACAGGATTCCCTCCCTATGTTCTAAAGCATCCCTGTGCCTACCTCTTCTCAGCATTTACCATACTAAATCGCCATTGTGTTTATCTAGTTTCCCTTTGTACTGTAAGCTCCTTCAGGACACAGAATGTATAATTTACCTGTGCATTCTCAGGCCATAGCTAGATATCCCAAAAAGTATTTATCAAATACATTTAAATATTACTACACTTACTGCTCAGATGGTCACTAGCACTAGGAATTAAAATCAGAAATGCTGTAGGATTTGGTAATATTTGGCCAGATTTGGTAATAAATATTGTCTAAAGTCTGAAATATAATATTGTCCTATTCTGATACTCTTTCTGCATAATTAGTACTGCCACTTGTATTATTCACTACTTCTCTGTATTTCTAAAATTGGAATTTAAGCCTCAAATTGTCTCATACATCACTGATTTACATATGTTATCAAATTTTCCAACTTTTTTCAAATGGAGATATGCCATTCAATTTTAAAGGAAACACAACTATATATTTGGTAAGCAGAATCATACCTTAGCTCTTAAAAGCTAATAAATATCTTTACCACTCTAACCTCAGTGCTCAGCTTTTTTTGGTGTAGAGGGAATGAGGAGCAGAGGGAGAGGGAATATCTTAAGTAGGCTCCACACCCAGCGCTGACGCAGGGGTCAATCTCACACTACCCTGAGATCATGACCTGAGCTGAAATCAAGAGTCAGCTGCTTAACGGACTGAGCCACTGAGGCACTCCCTAGTGCTTAACTTTTTATTGAATGAACATATGATTTTTATGAGACCCTATAATCAAACTTCTAAGATCCTCAATTCAAATTCCAAATGTAAATTATGATT